CAGAATTAAAACAAGCTTTTACAGATGTTACAATGCTGAATCACTTTAACTCTGACTTACTCAGTCAGTGTGAGACTGATGTATCTGAGAATAAGATCTGTGAAATCTTTTCACAGTTGACACTGAAGACCTTTCAATGTTGAAAGAATCAGAGAATAATCATCTCTGAGAAAACAGACAATAAATTGTCTGTGAAAGAAGACTTTTTCATGAAGTCTACAAGACACTGTAAATAAAGATCAGTGACCTTCTTCTTCAAGAAGTTATCACTTATACAGAGAAGATATAATACTCATGATCAGAAGATATTAGTAATTGTTAAATTCTTTAAAATCTGACAACATTATCTTCAGAATAGTAAGTATTCAGTGTAAGTTCTCACTGATCATACAAATCTGCATTACTTCTTGATAATAAAGAGCTTGATAGAATGTTAAGTCAGATGAGCAGAGCTGCTTTCAGAGTATGATTTCTATATTTAATATCATTCAGATCAGCTTAACTCTGTCAATACACTGTCTAGACAGTCTGATTATAATATCATTGATGCAGAGAAGAATTCTATAAAAGAATCTCTGCTATCACTGTAGAAGAAGCTGGCTGCAGAGAGTTAAGATTCTCTAAAGCTCAGAAACAGTATCAGAGAGACAGCTGTGTAACTCAGTATAAAAGATGAAAGAGAATTCAGATCTCTGCAGAGAACTGATACTGAAGATTATGAGCTTCTCATGTTATATCTTATAATTATTGAATTGATAAAGAATGAAATGATCTACAATCTTTCAACTCAACTACTTTTGAAATTCATTGATAAGTTACAGAAGAGAGACATCTCTACTGCAGCTTAAATTCAGAAGTTGAAGAAGAAAGAATCTGATTTGAACTTGAAAGAGACAGACTCTGAGCAGGACAGTGTCACTAAGAAATCAAGTTACTGATAACTAGAAGAATGTGAACTTCTACTGCTGAATGATTCAGTCTTCATCTCTCATAGCAGAGTGATGTGTCAGAAGTTATTAAGAATTCATCATAATGATTCTCATACAGAACACTTCAGATTAGAGAAGACTGAGAAGCTTCTAAAATATAAATACACTTAAAACAAGCTCTGAACAGATATCAAAGAGTATATTGAGACTTATGATGTCTATTAAAGAATAAAGATTTCATGATATAAGTAATATGATGAGTTAACATCACTGCCTGTTTTAAAGAGCTCATAACAGAATCTATTAATGAATTTCATAGTTGATCTGCTGAAGTTGACAAGAGTCAAAGAATATGACTCAATTTTAATCATTGTTAACTGCTTTATAAAGATGATCAGATATATTTCTACTTATAAAAAGATTAAAGCCTCTGAATTGACTGATCTGTTTTTAGATATCATTATTTATGATCATGATGCTTTGAAATCATTGATAACAGATTGAGAATTTCTCTTTATCAGCAAGTACTGATTGACTTTTTACTATCATCTTATAATAAGACATCTTCTCAGTACTGTATTTCATTCACAGACTGATAATCAGACTGAATATCAAAATCAGACACTAGAACAGCATCTTCAAGCATTCTATTTATATTATTAGAATGATTGACTTAAACATCTTCTAACTGCTGAATTTGTATATAATAATGTAAAGAATGCAATCTTAAAGATATTTTCTTTCTATGCTTATTATAATTATAATTCTTTGTTACTCAGTGATGTCATGAATAATATTTCAAAGAGAGAAATAGACAGTCAGAATGTTAGATAGATATAGAGAATAAAGTATTTCTCAGTATCAGAAGTAAAAGTGAGATTAAAACTTTTAAACAAAATTTATAAGAAGATAGTGAAAAGTATTCACTACACTCAGAAGCAGTAGATAAAATACTATAATTGAAAACATCTTCTGATGAAGTTCTTGATAGAGAATCAAGTGCTACTTTCAGCAAAGAATATTAAGATAACAAGATTATATAAGAAGCTCAGTGAGTGATGACTAGAATCTTTCTCAGTAATAAGAGTGATAAGTAAGCAGACATATAAGTTAAAATTATTCACAGAATTAAAATCAATTCATTCTATTTTTCACATTTTCTATTTGAAGCTCTATAAATAATGCTCTGAGACAGAGTCATCTCAGCTGAATAATATTGAGATTGAGAGTGATACTGAATATCTTATGAAGAAAATATTGAATAAGTAAACATATTACAGCAAGCTTTAATATCTTATAAAATAAAAAGAATATTTATTATCAGAGAATTTATGAGAACTACTTGAGCATTTGAAAAATGCTGAGAAAGAGATTATAAGCTATGAGACAGCTAGTAGAGACTACTCTATTACACATCAGAGATGTTGAGTAAGAAATATTACTTAAGACTTCTCATTTTTTTCAAAGAGTTTTTTAAAGATAATCTTGCAGTAATAAGCTGATATCTTATAGACTCTGTAACACTCTTCTTCTATTTTCTCTCAAAGGATTTTTTAGAAGTTTAATGAGACTATACAAGTGTAAAAATTTTAAAGTAATTAGAGAAAAGAGATATTTAAAATTAATAAAAAAGATTAATATTAATTAATCTGCAAGCTGCTGCTAATTTAATAAGACTGCAGCCTGCTGAAAAAGTAAAAAGAGAGAATCTCAGAGTCTACTCATTAACAATTATATCTTTATCAAACTCATTCTTCACTGTTGAAGTCTCTGACACTGATATCTTTGTCTATTAAAAAGTTAGTGCTATGACACTGCAGAGAAGCATACTGCAGAAGAGTATAAGAGATACTGAAAGTGTTAACTTATTAACTTATAAAGTATCTTAGTCATCTGCTTCAACTGAAGTGAGATTCTCTTCAATCAGTGATTAATCTCTGTGATGCTTTTAATAGTAGTATCAGCTGATCTCTTCTTAAAATCAGTTATTCTGAGATGTTTTTTCATCTTGAAGATTCATACTTTCATCTTCTTTTACAGATAAGTAAGAGAAATCTTCTCAGTCTTGACAGAATCTGTCAATACTTGAAGCTCTGAGACTCTTACTCTGTACTGCTTAAGCATCTGAACTTCTTATCAGAGCTGATATAACATCTTCTTGTAGAGTAGATAATACTTACAGAGAGACAGAAGTTGTTGTTACAGATATAACAGAAATAACAGAAGTGAGAGAAGAAGCAGATACATAGAATTCCTCTCTTCTTCAGCTGCTTAACACAGTATAGACAAGTAGTGATGTCAGTCAGAGACTACACTGAAGCCTTCTCACAGAGAGAAGATAAAGAAATCACAGAACTCTGCAGACTCAACTCAGCAGTATTCTGAGCAGGGCTCAGATGTGCTGCAGAAGAAAAACTATGAATTAAGCTTCTTAGAGTCACTGTCTCTGAAATCAAGCTCTTCTCAGATTCCTCTCTGAATGATCACACAGAGTTATATATCACTGTATTGATCAGAGAGAAGAGCAGCATCACAACAGCAGTAGAGAGAGCAGAGAACAGACTGAACACAGACAAATTAATCAGTAGAAGAAATAACATCTCACTGCAAGATACAGTAACTATCACCACAGCTGCAAAAGAAGTAGAAGAAGAAGAAGATGTAGTAATGAGAGTGATACTCTTACAGCTCATTGACATCACTGTCTTCATCTTTAATCTGACTTTCTTAATAGTCACAGAGGCTGTCACTGCATTATGAAGATATTTACTCACTAGAAAACATCAGAATAAGTTCTCTACTGTTCTTCAAGAATGATACTCTCATACACTCACTATTACAGATGAGAGAGAGGGAAGAAAAAAGTGTCACAGAGAAGAAGAATCTTTTTGAAAAAATCCTGTCACTACTGTTAGCTTTGTCTCTAAAACACATCACTTTTACAGAGAATTTCATATATAGAATGAAAGATGTTGAAAGATCTGTAAGTCACTTATTAATTACATTTTTCATCTTTTAAATTAATATATAAGGAACTTACTTATCACATGTTTGATTTGAACAAAGATGAGAAAAGAAAGATCTACACAGTCAGTAGAAAAACTCATCTATTTCTTTATATCACATACAGCACACACACTGTTAATCAGTTAGCAATCATTACTATACAACAAAGATAATTCCTAATTCAGTAATCTTGAGAGCATAGAGACTATGCCCTTAAAGGGGAGGGCATTGTCACACTCCCAGCCGCGCCAAGGCCTCATTGCAGTTCCACACAGCCCATCACTTCCATGTGGATGATTCCATCCATCCCGCAGGCCGTCTGAACCGGTTTCCAACCACCCTATGACATCATGCGGATGTATCATAGGAAGATCCGATTGATGGATATGAGAACCCCACTTCTATACAAGGTCAGCAGATTACTCTTCCTTGGCAATGAGGCGCCGCTGAGGTATCGCTCCAGCTATTCTCACTCATGGAATGGGAGGAGGGTATCCGCCCATTGTCTATATAGAATAGCTAGATGCTGGCTCCCCATCAAAGAAGCCAGCGATTCGTTTTGCTGCTACTGGAATATACACAAGAGTTACTGCGTGCCTCATACAATCTTCTTAGTATACTAAGTACCATATCTGTGATATCCTCGCAATAACCCTGTAGCCTACGAGCTCGCTATTCAAGCAAGATAGTCAAGCCCACCCATACAGCTTCCCAAACAACTACCCCTACATGTCGCCGCCGACTAGCCACCGCTTCGGTTCCGCCACGTTACAGAATCTATGAGAGATGGTTGATCAGATGTATTATCTATTCAAGAATCTGTACAGAGTAGGTAGATGATATGATAGTAGTATCATAGTACAATGTCACGGGATTGCGCTTCACTTAATTCTACACCAATCAGTGAGCTGTATTCGCGCCAAGAACCCCAAAAAGGAAATTCTCCACTTTTAATGACCAGGGTTTTCATCATATATTTGCTTCGCTTCGCTCCGCAAATTAGGCGGAAGCAACAAATTGTTCATGTTTCACGTGACTACGTTGCACCAGCCACTCCCATTTCGGGTTAGGCGCGGCTAAACCGTGACGCGATAGAACTCAGGAGATTTTCCAGGCCAACTGCGACAATTTTATTGATCGCCATCGGTTTCAAAGCAGCGTTTCCCATCTATCTGGACTTAACGTATCTGCTTTTTGTTTACAAACGTATCACACCATGCGATTCCACAGCTGTTGAATTTTCACCTTTCTTGATCCTAACTCGCTACGGAAATCTGCTCTTTTCTGGAGCGAAATCTCGACCTCCAAGCATCCTGAGCTATTACTCGGCCGTCTCTAAACCACCTCCCATTACCTGACCTTCCACATCCTTCACAATGCCAGCAGAGTACGCCAAAAAGACAAACGCGGAGCTCATTGAGATCCTCAAATCTCGTTCTCTGCCCCACACCGGGAAGAAGGCAGACCTCATCGCTCGACTCCAGGAAGCAGATAAAGCAGACGCCGAAAGAGCGGCCGCCGCTGCGCCCGTGAAACCAACTGCGATTGAGGATGTAATCGATTGGGATGACGATGCGGCGCTTGCTGAACCTGTCGTACCTGCGAAACCGGACGCCAGCACGGCAACTGCAGCTCCAATAAACCAGGTTCCCAATCCCACTGCGGTACCAAACCAGAAGGTCGATATTGATCCATCCACAACTCACGATCTCAAAGTTGTGAGAAGCGAAGACAAGGCGGAGACTGCCAGCGCGGCAGCTGGCGGAGATAAAGCTGCTGTCGCGGTGCAAGTTAACGGCACCGAGGTGCAAGCAAGAGAGAAACCAGCAGTCGATTACAGCATAGGGCTATCAGCCACCGATCTGGAAATTGAACTTGCCAAAAGGAAAGCTCGTGCAGAGAAGTTCGGGATAGTGGAGGATTCATCAACTGCACTGGAGCAAGCGAAGAAAGCTGTTGAAAGGGCGAAACGATTTGGGACAGTTACGGAAGACGCATCGATTGTCAAGGGTTTGGATGAGGCCCTGCCGGAGCGCTCAAGGAAGCGGGAGCGTGGTGATGAAGGTGGAAGTGGCCGTGGTGGGAAGCGCCGCGACTTCAGACGGGGCAGGAGTCACATGGGGAGAGCGGGGGGACGTCGAGGACCTGCTCCCCGACAAAGCAATGGTGGAAACGGCAATTCCTGGAGCGAGCAAGATCGTATCGCGTTGGAAAGGAGGAAAAACCGATTCGGTTAGGGTATAGGTGACAGGCTTCTAAATCGGCTTTCTCGGTCTTCTTTTCTCGAATATGTGTTTCTATCGTTCACGGGTTATTTTCCTTTTTCAGATTCAGTTGTCTAACTTTTTCTGATTTGTTGTATCTTTTGTGATCAGTGACTTGGGAGTTTGCTGGCCTGGGATTTCCTCTGCTATTACTTTGTTGTTAATTGTTGCATTGTAAGTCAAAGAGGAATATATATTTTCTCTGTTGTACCCTGCCTTATTTTCATTTATATTTCTTTGTTCCTGTCCCTGGCAGTGATTTGTGCTGTTAAATACATATGCTATCTGGCCAGGCTTAATTGTGCTTGTTGCTAGACTATTGACAGAAGCCAGTTGGGAAACCTGACAAAAGGAAAGCTAGGCACTCTATAGCCTATGTATGTACCTAGGTATGTTCACCAATACTTAGAAAGGAAACATATGTTACATTCTTGCACAGGCCCCATAATATCAATGGAGGATACGATTGTTCTGTCTTGAAAGTTTTTATCACATACATGACATACTTATAACTAGAGGGCTTAATTTACTCTTAATCAAAAGCGTCCCTTGAAAAACACAATGATTGACAGTCACAGACTCAGTTAGCATCTCACTTAATCTCTGTTCCTGTCATGCAGGCTTTCTATTATTAGTTTGTGTGTTGTGGAAAAAAGGGTTTAGAGTCAAGAGCTCTCGATTAAAATATCTACTAAAACTAATAGTCCGTACGGAGTAACATGGAAGGAAGTCAGCCTTGTAGCCCTTGTGTGGGAGATAAAAATACAAATCAGCCTATGGATCTGGCGTTATGGACTTCGTAAGACCTTAATAATTAGACAGCATGAAGTTGGTTCTTTTTAACCAGTGGATTCTCACCAATATTTAGTTACTCTGTCAAGCGTGTGGATCGACCCAGCATACGCGCCCAGCGGACGAGTTTGGATTAGTGACTCGAGGGGATTAATTCTTAGCGTGGTTTGCTGTGGAATCGTGATAGGAAGAATAATAGAGAAAATCACGGGGGCTTGCCGTCCCAGCACAGCTGAATCGTGCATTTACTCTGTACTCTGCATGTCGAAAACAGGAGCTGCGGACAGCGTTGATTGACCCCCGAGGTTGCCCCCCTGCAGGATTATTAGCGACTGTGCGTTTCGGCTCGTTCATCGCCATAGTGTACTCCGTATTTGACTTTGGGATGCTAAGCTGGGAAAGCCTTTCAAACACTGTGAGGATGGCAGCAAATAGAATGATTTTCGCCTGATACATAGCAAGACGAGTTGATCTAGAGAATTTGATATTTCTCCGCCTTAGATTAACCACTAAGCGAACAGAACCCCTCAGCTTCTTCTGATAGGGAAACGAGGTCGGGAGATACAGAGCACAGACATGCAGATTGGGATGAGTTTGATGAAGAAGTGGAAGACCATGATTCGAGCGGTATGATAGGCTCAGAGTAGAAAAATCTCCTAGTTTTTTAAGATGGCGGCATATAACTACATTTTTTCTTTTTTCTTTGTAATTTTCATTTTTGATATTTTCCCTCTGGATCCCTCAGCCTACCGGTCAACTTCCATACCCCACGTTAAATCCCCTGCAAACAAATGCCCTTGTGAGCCGGCGTGATATATGCGCCTATCACGAAGAAACGTGCCTCTGCGTCATTTCTTGATTTCCTCTGGCAGATAGCAAAGTCTTTTAAACCCGAAAATATAGTGTTATTTTTGTCTTTTAGGATTAGAGTCTGCGCCTCGCTGCACGACATAGAGATCACAGCATGAAAATCTTGTCCTAGGCAATGATCAAAAACTCAGAGATCAAAGGCTGATTGACAATGTGTGTTTAAATCCTATCATGCTTCTCTGCTACCAAATAAACTCCGCAGAGGCCACATTGAGAATGAGGATCGGCGTCCATGAAGGCCGAGCATCACAGAGGGTTATTATTCTTGAATTCCGGGGACAGTTAGGATTTGAGGTAGAACGCTGTGTTGCGAGACTCTGAGAGTGCCCGAGCCAGAGTTGCATTCGCGTGCCTCGCTAACTCTTAGCCTGGATAACCCTGCCTGCGAATCACGGAGCCGTTTGGCTGATTCGGGATGCAATTGGCCCTGGCAAAGCGAATAAAAACGCTCGCCAACTTTGACATCCATGCCCTCGCGCCCCGAAGAGCTTGTGGCCCCCAGAAGATTCGACTGGTCTCCTGCACAGTTGCGCGGATAAATCACAAAAATATGTTTTCATTTATCACTTTCAAGAGGATATTATTATTGTCAATGGATATTGCATAACTAAACCCCGGTTGGGAAAGGGACAAGTTTAGATGACAAGTCCATCTTCCTCTTATCGATAGCAATTCGGAGGGGTGTATTATCGATGGGCCCTTGAATGAAGCCAATGAAGTCTTTAACAAGCTTTGGGTAATGATTGAGTGGTTTTGGATTTTCGTGAAGCTGATTGGCATGTAGAAAAGCTCCAAGAACAATTAGCAGATCGTCGTGAAAGACTGGTTGATGACGGCACGGCACGTCTGGTAACTAGTCTAATAGATGTCAAGGGGAGGAGCTCACGGAGTTCTCCTGTTCTGCTTTGAAACGTGATAGGATTCCTTGATCATGCAAGTGTAGTCTGGGGCGGCGCACTGCGAAGTAATACTAGTAGCACGAGACTACCTATGAAGGGGTATTTTGACTCCTTGTACAGGTAGGAGGTACCTTGGAACCGTGACTTCAGACAAGAAGTATGAATGACCAAAGTTGGGAGGAGTACACAAACCGGAGGTGTTGATGCTGGTTGAGAGATTTGCAGGTGGGGGGTATTCGCGAGTTCTGGGAGCCTGATATTATTGCCCGCTGGTAACCACATGATCCTCGAAGCCCTGAGTCAGTCGCTTGCAGCGGTACAGCCGATGTCTCTTACCTGTTGCAAGCTGCCAAATGACTGGCTGACGCCATTCAAAGGCCCGACTGCGGCATGCTCCTTTTTGTAGCGTGATTGAACAGGCTCTTTATTCGAAGGAAGAAAATATGTCGCAGCTAACGAGATGTGAGAAGGGATCCGTGCTGAGAGCCACCAGGTCTTGTTCTTGTTCGCAGCCCACAGATCCGCTAACGTCTCCAGCATAGCGACTGGTACCCACTGCGGCACCAACGCGAGCATATCAGGGCGCTGGATTCCCGAAGTCCAGCTTCCTTGCCATCTACAGACACTCGCTCAACCTATTTGTAGCGGTGCCTCGTGACTCGCCACTGCCAATAAGCCCGGCCTTAAGCAAAGTCTGGTTTTTAGCGGGAAACCCCAGCAGCCGCGCTCCGTACCGCACCGTTATCCGAAACTCTCCTTTCGCCTCATTGCTGGATCTCGAGCTCACCAACTAGAGTCTTGCCAGTCACTCCCCCGGAGGGTGAGACTCCATTGCTGGGCTTCACAGGCGCCGGCCCTCTGCACCCCTGTCCAACCCGTTACCCAGGACCTAAGGGCACAATGACCCCTCCTTGGACCTTAAAGAGAGGCCGATGGGCACCTCAGGGCTATTCATTTTACATTTTTCTACATTTTTTTTGCCCCTGTTTGCTTCCCAGGAGAAAGCTTCACGATTCTCGAAATTTTGGTCAACCACATTGGCCTAGCCGTCGATCAGGAACTCACTCTGCATAATGATGGCACTCATTGACGTGGCCGTTGTCTAGTCGTTCGCCTTACCGGTTCTCTTGGGCCCTGCCACTTTCCTTAGCCACAACTCACTGCATTAAGGCCTAAACGGGCCCGCCGTGTGTGGCGAAGTTGCATACATGCAGTATATGTGTATACCAAGTGCCTAGACGCCCGATGATGTGAACATCCTGTGCCTCAATCTTTCTGACGGCTGTTGAAATATCTACATTATAAGAGAGGCTCTCACATATCTTTTCTCCTGACGTTGGCGTTGACGCTTTCCTCTTTTTTCTTTACCTTGTTTTCGTACGGGGATTTACAACCCATGATAAATCTTCTACAGTTCAATTGTACTGTACCTTAAAGCACACGCTGCAGAGTCTATGTATGGTGCGGGTCACTGTGAAAGATATTTAGTGTTATTCTATGGTTGTTTGTCATAGAGCAAAGCAGGAAGGAATGGGAAAGTCTGGCCCTGACTGTGAGTTCCCATAGCATGGTTATACTCAACCCCTTGAAGCCACCGAACCTCGTTGTTGATCTTGATACAGATACGGCGTCATTCCCATGCAGCTCCTAGTGCCCATCTGTTATGAGTCTGCGGCTTGCTATTCATAGTAAAGTTTTGGAAAGCTGGTTCTTCAACCTGGGCCAGGTATTTCGAGCTCAGGTCGCACCATGCCCTCTCACAGATTTGATCGGGGGCGGATGTTAAAACAGGAGGACTTAACGGAGCCATCTCAAGATGTCCACCTATCTAGAATTCCCGGTGTACCGAACATAAGCCAGTCTAGTTTAACGACAACTAGATCTCAAGCCCAGCGAACTTTTTTACCTTCCAGAAATAGAAGAGGCTCGTTAGTCTCAGATAATGAGAGCTCTTTTCGAGGAAGAATCCCGACTCCTCAGAATACCAAAATCCCATCAAAATCCAACGGGCAGCCCTTGAGGATTCCGCAACCCTCGAAAGTTGGTTCCTCCCTGGCACCTAGCTTAATACCATCGATGGGCAAGATGCCTCCCCCTGCTCAATCTCAATTAAAGCCAGATCATGCAATTGCTGATAGGCTCGGGAAACTATCTTCAGCAGAGGGCCGATCCCGTAATGTGCTGCGGAGGAAAGCTCCGTCGATAGAGCAATATGCTGAGCGCAATAGGGCGGCATCCGATACGTCAAAGTTTGGCTTTTTTGGTTCTAATACTTCCTTGTCGAAGATGGAGGGTGAGAGCAACCCATTAAGCTTGGAGCCCCTTTCAGCAGACAGGCCCGATGAGGGTTCGAGGAGCCGAACACAGGATCAAGTCCAGCCTCTACAATCAACGGCTCAACAGCGTACTAGAGCTGGAGAAATTCCTCGCATCCCGAAGGATATCCCAGAGGAATTGACCGGACTAGCAAATACAATAAATACAACGGCCTTCCCCCCTCCAACTCCTAATTTCACATCCACCAGCAGCCCCTCCACGAGATATTCTGAATCGCCTGGGCCATGGAGTAGCAGGACGTCCACTCCAACCTCCATGTCTTCGTATTCGCCAGGAATCACTCAACTAACAAAGATCGGGTCACGTTTAAGGCAACCTAGCCCCGGTCTATCGAGAAGTCCACTCCCTGGGCAATCTACTGCTCCTGTTCCCTCCACTATTCCCACCACTGCCAACAAAGATGGACCTTCATTTTATCCAAGAACACCCCGTAAAGCTCAGACTCATCCTCCTATAACGGCAGGCAAGACTGACAAAGTCGAACGGAAGTATGGTGATAGGGGAACAATACCCTTAGAACCTCCTCGCAGGCCCCCGCCTCGAAAATCATCCACTAAATTCAAATCTCCGAAGACGACGATGAGCGATTCCAAGCAAATGCCAAATGAGGACTTGGAGATACGGGAAGAGAAGCAAGTTATCAAACCAGATCAGAGCAAAACCGAAAATTCTTCTCGGCTGCCAGCTCCAACCTCGACTTTCCGGCCACCTAGACCCAGCCGTGCTGGTACAAGTGACCTGGAACTGAAACCATCTCCGGTAATTCAGAGTAATATGGCAACCCTAAAGCACTCTGGGCATAAACGTCAGGCTTCCAGCGACTCTACTCATGACAGGATTCATAGAGTTCATAATATCAATTCTTCGACGGAATCGTTCCAGTCTAAAGGTTCTATCCGGGTTCCTAATCGATATGCCTCCCCATATCTCACTGGTAACCAGAGCTCCAAAATTGGGACGGGTTCAAAGGACTCCCTGTCCCGTGCGAACACGGTTTTATCAAAAGACCCTAAGCAAGCTAAAGAACCTTCAGCAAGTGGCAGGACAAGGCGGTTTGGGATATTCTCAAGAAAAGGAAAATCAGATACAGATATAGTTGGTTCGGACTCGAAAGATAAGTCGAACCGACGTGGCCCTGCTGCAGGAACTGGCCACGAAGGTTATGGAAGGTATGCCCAGCGGGGGCGAAGATCCAGCATAAATAGCGTCAATGGAAGAGCAAGGTCCGCGAGCGCAACTCGTCCATCGAGGAAGGGCAGCACTGCTAGCCAGACAGAATCGGAAATGGATGATTTCCTATTGGATCGCCTGGAACCAGTTGTCATTAGTGGACAGGGGATCATTGGAGCAGATCTCAGTCGAATACAGAGCGAGCAGAGCGCGAGTGGCGTGAGCGCCACGTCGACGGCAACTTCTTGTCCTGGTCCACAATATTCGAAAGCCGTTGGGGCGTCTGCGGAGTCATTAGTTTCACTCACTTCGCAGCCAGCCGAAACTTTTGACTCTTTACTATACAAAATACAACGAAATGAAGAAAACCAACGCCTTGCCAACCGTCGGTCTTTCCGGAGGTCACAGCTCTTCGAGTCCCAAGAACAAACGCCTGTACCACTATCCATCCATACCGATGTTCCCAAATCCCGCCCATCCATTGACAGTTGTAACACAAGCCAAACATCGTTTTCTCAGTCCAGCGTATCTATTACTGTGAACGAACGTGGTCACGATAAAAAGGATAACAAGAAGCCCGAGAGGAAAGGGAAGTGGAATTTTTTTCAAAGGAGCCACCAAAACCCACGAAAGGGATCACTTCCTGAACCAAGTCCTTCTGTCGAAGTGTCAGTTGCCATATCTAAGCTTCCTTCTGCCAGGCAAGTGGCTCACTATGCGCTCCTCGAAAATGAGCACCTAGATCCGGAGTCACTCAGAGATATTTTCCAAGGGCTTGAGGAATCACCAGCCACCGAGGAAGAGGTCGACGAGACCGAAGAAGTTCCCCTCGGGCTTGGCTTGAAAAGAGAACACGGTCACTCCGTTCTGCTGCCATCTCCTCCACTTTTAGGAGGATATGCCTTCGAAAAGCTTCCTTCGTCACCAAAGGTATTTTTCAACAAAGATATCTTTGATGAGAAAGAAACAAACGGTGTTCAACCGAAAGGGGATGTTCGGGAAGAACGACGGCCTAACCGACTTGCATCAGTGGGAAGAATTCCTCTAGTAATTTCGAGCCGAGACACGCAGAAAAACCAACCTATCCCTTCATTTTCCCGCCCCTTCAGCAGAGCTGATATGCCTTCCTTCTTGGCTACGGCCGACTCTCAGCCTGTTCAATTTTATAATCCCGGTCGACCCCCCGTGGGGTCTCAAGTGGAGGCTCTCCCCAGTCATGCGTTCTATCCGGAGTGTGCAATTTCGGACCCTTCCGTTCATATCATACCAGGAAACAATGCATCATATGCACAGAAGGATCGCGAATTCTTGACTTTTCCACGGAAATCCATAGCCTCTGGCTCTAGTAGCTCTGAGGGTTGCAAGAGCTTGACTACTGTGACTGCTGTTGCACCACATCCGGGTTCAAAACTCAGCGAAGACGAGATCTGGAATGAATACGATGATTTCATTGACACGGTGCTATCACCGAAAGCGGCTCCCAAAAAGAGAAGGTCAAACTCTTCCCAGCAGTCTTTTGAAATGGCCACTCGTGCCAGCAGGACTTTGCAAGTGGAGATAAGTGAAACGAGAAATGGGGACCGTCTTGCTCCCATCCCTTCGGAAAACCCGTCCTTGCATCGATCGATGTCTTCGGCAAGATCAAGTGGAAGCACAGTGCGCCTACGCAGGTCTATGATACTTTCTGCTCTACACTCTTCCATGTCCCAGTCTCCTCCAATGCCGTTCAACGGCATGTATGGTGGCAACGGCAATACGAACAGCGCAGAGCTGATGAATCAAGATGGTACATTATCCGTCCGGCGATTAGATTCAGAATCGGACATAATTAGAGAATCTTCGCTTCCTACGCCTAAGAAAAGTGAAGCAGATCGTCGCAGAAATACCATCCTCCTAGATAGAGCAGAGCGAGATCGCAATGGCGCTGTGGAGCAAATAAACCTTCGCTCTAGCTCCCTCATGACCAGCCGGTGGTTATCGTTTGGGCGAGTACTTTTCAGCCCTGCACACAATCACCTCAAAGACCAAGATCAGGGTCGAGTTCTTGTTATTGACGGCTTAGGAAACGA